GACAGTCAGAGCAGAATGAGACCTCCTCCTACATGGTTAACCAGTGTTCAGCTGGACACTGATAGAAGTTACAAGACTGCTATAAACTGCTGATGGGAAAAGGTATTTAGCAGTTTATATTAAAATAATAAAATAATTGCATTTCTATGTACTGGGGGAGACTGGATATAGTGAATTCAGGGTCCTGGGTTTGGAAACATTTTAAGTACAGTTTCTGTTGTTATTGCTGAGGAGATTGCCCAGTTGGAAAGTGAGAGAAGAAACTTCAGAGGGACTTCGATGCTGTATGAATGACAATAACACATCCACAGTATTGATACTTTTTTGGCTACTTAGGTGCAAAATGACATTGTGAAACTTCAATTTATGCATATGGTAGGCAGAAGAACTACTAGTAATGTTTATGTTTTTGATCTCAGATGTAGGAACTTGCCAGCAAGAGGAACATGAAGAAGGAAAAACTTTGACTACTGGATCCTCACCTGAATATTTAACTTCACGTTCCCTCTCCTAAAATGTCATACTAGGTTGAAGGGGCACCTGAATGTTTAATATCACTGCCACTTTACCAGCCACTCCTTTTTCTTTATGATGAGCTTGAAATTGTATTTTAAGAGCCTCACCGTACAGTAAAATCCATAAAGAAAAACATATGTTGCAATAAAATTAATTAAACTGTACTACTTAATATGATGTGCATGGAAGCTTGAGCGTCTTGAAGACTTAAGCCTTATACTTGATGCACAATGATCACTGCCAATGCCAAAAAATATTTATTGTCTCTTTGTTGAAAAGCCAAATTAATATACACGGGTAAAAAAGGCACACTGTTTTATGTTAGCACAGCCTTGGTAAAAAGAGATTAGAGAAATAATTGATTATTTGTAGTTTACAACATAAGAACACTACAAGATAAATGAAATTATTTTCTGTATTGCAAAAACTAGGTCTGCATGTAAAATCAATATAGTAATTCACTGACATACACATACACCTAGCAAGCAAGGTATAAGTACTTACAAACTAGAAAAATATGATCTGACGGCTTTGTTGAGGATGATGATGATGATGGACGTGCAGTGTTGTGGTGTATCAGACCTGGCCAAACTATGGCCGAGCAGCACTGTGATGTACAGTATACACATGGAAGAACATAATGAATATGTAAACCTCTCTTCTCTGCAATGCCTTTATAAAGGGGCTTTGCTCAATTACCTCATCCTCTTTCGTAACTGCCGATAATGCTTTTTAAAATGTGTAGATGACCCATAGCACATTTTTATGTCTTTTAGTACAATGCAGAAGCTACAACTTTTTTAGATACTATAATTGTTTTCTGTGTATTTTACCGATGTTTCATTGGTTTCCTTTTACAATTCTGGAAACACTGCTTAACACCACCTTATTCTCTGTAGTTTAAATCCGAAAAGTATTAGTCTATAATGTAATTTGATCAGCTAGTACTTTCATAAAAACTGCTGCAAAATACACTCTCTTCCTGGCCAACAAAAGGATAATATAGAGCTCATATACTTTTATTTGCTTTTTTTTACTGGCATTTCAAAGGTGCGATGAGCTTCTAAATTCCTGAAAAATACCACATGTGCACTATTCTTGCTTCTGTGCAACCTAATTTGACCAGATAATGGTTTTCTAAAAATGCTGATGTACTGAAAACTGTCTCCTTGATCAATTCAACAAAAGAGTGAATCCCTAAATTTGTTCTGCTGGCAATTTAGGCACATTTGCTGCACAGGGCTAGATATTCATCTGGATGAATTTTAAACTAGTGAAGAAATCCTGAATCTATTATTAGAGTTCTTCATCCATCTATTAACATGAATGGACTATCATGGATGGATTATCATGGATGGAGATATATCCACTGCTGGCTATTGTATTTATGCAGTTGCAACACCAGTGGATGCATGAATACCCAATAGGATGCAATCTTTCAACTGATAGTTTTATTTCCTGGCCAACAGGGCAACCCATGTCTTGTATTTTGGCCAAATCAGCAGGAACTTAATTAACCAACATTTGAGCTGTGTGTGGCTTGCTCTAGGACTGCTAACTGTTCTATTTGTGTCTACAACTGTAAAGCGCATGTTCTCTGGCATGCCCACAAACAGCAGAAACCATGTTATCTCCCTTTGCTTATAATAATTATCTAATATATGTCCTTTGTTAATAAAAAATTATATACCCTAGATTGTACGCCCCTTGAGGGTTAAGGACTGGTGTGAAGGTACAATATATATGTAAAGTGCTACATAATTGACGGCGCTATATAATAAGTACCTGAAATAAATAAATATAAATAAATAATGTACATGGCCTTAGAGGTGCACTGAGGTAGAACCAGCTAGCCAGCAAAAAAAAATAAAAATAAAATAATAATCCTACACTGTTCTATAGCAATGTGCTTTTTAATCAGAAGTTTTTGTTGCACAAATTTACCAATATATGTGAATGCCATTTATTCATTGCTATATGTGTCCCAAGATGGGAAAATAAAGACCATGTTTTACAAAGAGACCTTGATAAAGCAGTGTGGCTTCCATTTACAATATTTGCATCATTGTTGAAACAGTATTGGCTAGCTGGTATGAGTGCTGAAAAATGTTTGTATTGTATTGCTTTGTAAACTGTCCTATCTATGTGCATCTTACTTAAAAATAGCTATAAATTAATTAGACATTTATATGTTCTTACATCTGTAGGAGAAGCTCATTACATGCTGGAACAAGGAGACTGTCACATGCTCATGTTCATGCTCATAATTCTGAGCAAAGGCTCAATGCAAAATGGGCATTAGCACACAAGCACAAATGTATTAGCATGTGCAAAAACATAGGTGCATGTACTGGCACTGGTGGCAAATGGACTATTTATACTGGACTATGACATGAATGGATTGCTGAGTGGTCTTCAACTATGTCCTGCTTATCCTGAGCCTAGACCTATTATACATACATATATGCATGATGACTGAGCTTTCCTCTGACCTGTGTTTGGATTTCTGCCTGCCTGCTGTGACCTTGGCATGTATTCTGACTCTGCTCTTGTCTTGTGCTCCTGTACCTTGCTGCCAGGCTTTGTACCAGTCCTGACTTGTATCCTGAATCTATCCTCTGCCTGATGTTCCTGCACCTCGCTGCCCAGCTGTTGATGACTTTTTGGCTCGTGTCTGGCTACGCTCTGGTCTGCCAGTCAAATGCCTCCATGTTTCAGTTCCTGCCTGGTGGTCTATGGTCATTTGCTTTCTGCAATCACCTGCTGGCGCTGCTTATAACACCGGCCCCTTGTACCACTCTATGTCCTTGTACCTCCTGTCATCTCTACCAAGGGTATTGGATAAGAGGTGCAAGAGAAGCCCCATCTCCAGCTAGATCTGCAGTAGGTACGTGACAACATCACTCTACCCATTTACCCTCTGCACACTGCTGTGCACCTCCACATATTACAGCAAACTGTTGCATAAAAACAACTATTTTTAGTTTGCATATATTGCAATACATGCTCAAGTTGGCTATCTACATCAAAGTGATCCATTTCTCTCCAGTTCCTACTCTACCCTGCAATATGGTATATTACTAATGTGGTCACAGTATAGCTTAACTGACATTTAGTGCCAATATGGGGCAGAAAGACACAATTGAAGGAGTACTATATATTCAGGTCCAGTTGCTGGTCTGCACTATGGCTATAAAAATGGGGGAGATATGGTATGTTTGTGCTCAGATCCAAATAGCTTGCATATATATAAAATGAAGAGGTGCTAAACAGCATGTGACCACATGTTAACACAAAAAAATTTGAAATAAACCTCTGCACACTGCTATGCCCCCTTACATATTACTGATATAATTTAGCATTAAAGCAGGGATTCTTGGTTTACATAAATTGCAATACATGTCCAAGCTGGGCAACTGCATCCAAGTGATCCCTCTCTGGCCCATACCTACTCTACTGTGCTCCACGTATCTTGCTCATGTAATGAAGCCTAATAAGTTTCAGCATAATTTGAGCTGAGTCTTTTAAAACATCAACTAAATAATTTTGTTATAGGAATTGTTTTTAAATTACAACATTTTTCCAAGGTGCATTAATTATTGATATGTTTTATTATCTCCAAAAGTGAGGGCAGTTGGTAGCTTTTAATATTTTTAGCCACCAACAGATAATCAAGTACAATCATTTGGACCAAGGGCTGAAACTCCTGTATTCCAAAATGTAGTCCTGGAACTCAGCAACAAGCAATATGCAGAGCAACAAGCAGAGAGACTTCTGATCCCATTAATTTTGTTTGTAGATATCCTAGACATAACTGATGCCATGGGTAAAACCAAAGAAAGTCGAAGAAAACTGATGGGCTTATTTCACGTGACTGAATATAAAGGCAGCCAAGATGGTACCAGTACTCCCCACCCAGAATTTCCAGAGAACCCTACAGCAGGGAGATTAGTGGGTTCTCATTGCCTGCTAATTACTACTGTGGCAAGTACTGTCTCATCCATCTTGCAACATCGAGATGTAACCACACTGTGGCAGACATGCTGAGCTCTGAAAAGGACACCAATTTCACTCTTGCCACCGCCAGGGAACTGATAGATCCCATTGATGATTTATCTATCTCCCATTTTGAACACAGCCTAAAAAGAAATGCTGATATTCCTCAATGGCTCCCCTGATAAGGACATTACTTCTGTTTTACACCAGTTTATAGGGGACCTGTATGAGCTGGGAGATTGAATTAGTCATATTGCAAATAATCTCCAAAAAAAAAAAAGAAAAAAAATATCCTACCAGGTCAGAAACAAGTGAAGACATTTGTAATATTGTATTATGTGTACAGAAAACCTTCAGCACAATGAACCCTCCTAAAAAATTGTGTGGTGTGTGATTCGGGAATGACCAGAGACTGCGGACACAGCGCAGGAGACGGCCAGAGATTGCGGACATAGTACAGGAGATGACCAGAGACTGCGGACATAGTACAGGAGATGACCAGAGACTGCAGACATAGTACAGGAGATAACGGAGACTGCGGACACAGTACAGGAAATGACCAGATACTGCGGACACAGTACAGGGAATGACCAGAGACTGCAGATATTACAGGAGATGACCAGAGACTGCAGACATAGTACAGGAGATGCAGAGACTACACAGAACAGGAAATGAGACTGCGGACACAGTACAGGGAATGACCAGAGACTGCAGACAGTATAGGAGATGACCAGAGACTGCAGACACAGTACAGGAGATGACCAGAGACTGCGGAGACAGTACAGGGAATGACCAGAGACTGCGGACACAGTACAGGAGATGACCAGAGACTGCGGACACAGTACAGGGAATGACCAGAGACTGTGGACACAGTACAGGGGATGACCAGAGACTGCGGACACAGTACAGGAGATGACCAGAGACTGCGGACACAGTACAGGGAATGACCAGAGACTGTGGACATAGTACAGAAGACCAGAGACTGCAGACAGTGCAGGGGATGACCAGAGACTGCAGACAGTAAAGGAGATTACCAGAGACTGCGTCTTATGGAGCGAAAAATACGGTAGTCCCTGACAGATGTCACCGTAAGACCAGTCCTACCACAATAACAAAAAAATTTAAGGGGCTTAGTAAGTCTGTTTCTCAAGCACACCTTCCTCAATATGTTCAGCGAATTATTGCTACCTTAATTCCATCACCTAGCTCTCCATATGAAGTGTTTTTTGATAGATCACATCACCTGCCAAAACTTCAAAATAAGCTTCCTAGAAATGTTTCTCAGGAAGTCATCATTAGAGATGAAATATCTCAATGTAGTTGCATTGGTGGTGGAACCTAGCAGCACTAACAAGTGGGCTGATTTAATTCATTTTTTGGCTTGAATTTCAACCCTCCCCCTGCCTGCAACTTCCTGAGACATGTTGGAGGTCCCAGGAAGTTGCATGTCCATTCATAAAATACAGCAGGATTTTCACAGTGAGGAGTCAGGTTACCGCATCCAAGATGATGGTATTGGAAACCAAAAGATCAGTAAAGAACTAGCCTGGGGAAGGACAGCTCTGGATCCCTGAATGTTTAGTTAAAGTCAGAACCTACAGTATTTTTAATTAATTTTTTTTCCAGACCAAAGATCCTCTTTAAGGAACACTGAGTGAAACCCAACATATTACACCACCTTCAAACCTAAAATGGTGGTATTAGTGTGGGCTGTTACTGAGGAATATACAGAAAGCAAGTCTATTGCTAATGCTGATGCCTGTCACATGATCCTAAATAAACTGTACCCTCTGACATAGATGAAAGGTAGGGAAAATTGAGACTGAAAACTTAACCATTACGACTCCACAAGGCTCTTGAGAAGGTATCAGTATTGTCCTGGAAGATTCTGGCAGTGGCTTGAGAGAAATACAGAGCAAGCAACAATGACCTGATAAACAGGAGTAACAACAATGGGACAAAGAAACATTAAACATTGGCCAAAGCTTCAGATTCTAAATGGGATCCTGTACCAAAATGTAAGTTTAAAAACACCATTTTACTCAAACTTGGCAAATGGTTTTGTCTGGCAAAATGGCTGAACCTGTTGTTAAGGTACATGTAAACCCTCACCTTGTAAAAACAACCCATTCAGTTTAAAATAGAAATTAAAGGCAATACATTTGTGTATATAGATATAAAAACAACATTTTAAATACCTTAATCACATATCCTCTGCTTTCAGCTGCATAAGAAGCTCAGAGAGCTAGGAGAGGAAAAAACAAAAGCACACTGGTCTTCCCAGTGAATCACTGTGTGGGGCAGGGTGGCAGGACAAGTCTTATCATTTGAAGAGATCAGGTTGAGTTCCCAGAGAACTGACCATGCTCTGCTCTCATGCATAGTGTGGTCAGTTTTTAATAGGAAATCAGAGGGGCTGACAGGAAAACCTGGGATTTCACACAAAGAAAGCAATTCAAAGAGAACAGGATACTTTTTCTTACAAGTACATGGAACAGCAGGCACATGTCAGGAATATTAAATTCGGGTTGACATCTTTAAACAAGTTCATAATAAAATCCTACAATGGGGACTGTAGAAAACCTTTTTTTGGTTTCAGTCTAAACTCTTCATTGACTCTTCAGAAGTAGTGTCACATTTCTCAACAGTTCATAACATCAACAAAGGTGCAGAAATTAGGACCCCCATAACTACCTGGAAACCAATATATTCTTTGCAACTATATGCTATGGATTTTGTGTCATTAGACTTCAATGGCAATGGATATAAATATGTCCAAATGATCATGTATGCTGTAATAGTTCCCATGAAAGATCATACCGCAACATGTGCAATATGGAAACACTTTACCCAAATATTTGGGTTCCCTCAATGTTTACACTAAGACCAGGGACCCTGTTTTAGGGAAAAAGTACGTAGGAACTACGTATTCAATATGTAATCCATAAACCAGTAAGTGATGCTGTTAAAACTGATTTCTCCGAATGAAATAGGCATTTTGGAGCTTATAAGGAGCAACACCAAACTCATATAAAGGCAACCCTTTCTTCTATATTGTGGTGGAACTTTTTGGGGCATTCTGCTGACAGTCAAGTCCACAGTGAAGCATAGAGAATTGGTTACTCAGGTGTTTTCAGGTATGCAAGGAAAAATCAACAGATCCTGATAGTTCTGTTTAAAGTTCAACCGTAGAAAAATTAAAAAAGTGCACCCTTGCAGTGGGGACACCTTTCACACTGCAAGAGTTAAATGCTCATTATGTCTATGAAAGATATGAAGAGGCTCTATTTCTAACCATACAACCTACTCTAATAAGTTCTAGTGCTCCTCTCCTCTGCCTGAATCTCTGGTATTTTGGGTAGAACGTCAACATCCTGATGTACAATATAGGAACATTAACACTGCATGGTATGCTGAAGAGATGTGACCAGAGCTTGTTACAGTTTACAGAGCAGGCATGGGGAGCAAGTCGCAGTGCTGGAGGGAGCCTGCTGGAATTATTCCCTAATACTCTTCCCCTAGACCACAGGTGTCAAACTGGTGGCCTTCCAGCCCTCCAAACTACAGATCCTATGAGGTATTGCAAGATTGACAGTTACAAGCATGACTCTGAAAGGCAGAAGCATGATGGGACTTGTGGTTTCACAACAGCTGAAAGGCCGCCAGTTTGGCACCCTTGCCCTAGACTAAACAAGCATTAAACCCTTTCAGTGCTGAAGGATTCCACTGCAAGGGTGTTTATTTTTCTTTTCCTGAAGTTGGGCTTTAAGTATCACAAGATAGATACATTGTTTCGATAAGCAGAAGTAAGAAACTTTAAATCATCATCTGGTGGGGTAGTGAATGCAGTAAATTTTGGGACTTTTGATACATCTTTAATTTTTTTATACCCTTACTGGGAAGCAAGTGGATGACTTACCTGCCAAATTACTATTCAGCTTGCTCTTTAAATTTTCTTTTTGAGCTACAAAGTTTCTGCCCTAAACATTTTTTTGCATATGTGCCTGTTAAGAAAATAGCTGATACAATATTAAAGTCAGTGTGTACTTACAGAACATTAGATTCTCTTTAAGAAACTTAGAATATCCCAAATAAATCATCTTTTGAATTTAGAAAAGAGACTAAATTATTAATATTATTATTATTATACAGGACTCATATAGCGCCATGTTATTATCATACATGATTTATATAGCACCAACCATTTGTGAAGAGCTTTACAATATAAAGGGGGACAGTACAATTACAACATAGTTCAATACAGAAGGAATAGGAGGGGCCCTGTTCATGGATCTTCTTGTCTAAAAAGATTGGGAAGTTCTTCAAAAAATTACATACAAGACAGAGCAACTTCAAGTTCCCCCAAAAAATCCCCATACTCATAATCTGGGATTCCCTAGTCAAATACATAAATAGAACCAAGAAGAATGAGGACTAGTTATGGATTCAGCCAGAGTTGGTGTATATATAAATGTGACCAGGACATAAAATCAGTACCCTTTATTGTACAAAATCACATACAAACATTGACACAATAGAATAAAAACACCTCCATTCAACTTCAATCCTACATAGATGCCCTCTGATGATATATTCAAGTGTTTTGACAACTAGTCATAAAAACCTTACTGAACAGTACTGCATTATACTTTGTAACTGTACCAACGGTTTGCAGGACTAATAGAGTCCATAAAACATACTATGTACCAGGGGCGGACTGACAACTCATGGGGCCCCCAGGCAATAGGGGATCATGGGGTCCCTGTGTCCTTGCCCAAACTCAAAAAAGCCTATGAAAATGTACCAGGGGCATCTCATGGGGCCCCCTACTGACCCCGGGCCCTCGGGCAGTGCCCGAGTTTCCAAATGGTCAGTTTGCTCCTGCTATATACAGCTAGAACCACATTCCTTTCTCTGAGTTTGAGGTCTTTTTAATTCAGATCATTGAAGTAAGGATATATATACAGACAGATTCCATCCAAAGAATATCATAACGCTAAACACTCCACTTTGGGGGTCTCCAAGTACAATATCATATGTAGTGTGGTCCAGAGGAGAGTATTCTGCCCTACAATTTGCATGTATTCCTTTAACCTCCCTCACACACTATAGACAAAAGGTAATAGCTGCAGGGGATGATATTATGGAGGTGACTCAAGTACAGATTTTTAGGTGGATGTAGGGTAGGCTTCTTTGAATAAATGAGTTTTCAAGGACTGCCTAAAGGTAGACAGGGTAGGAACTGACTGGACATACTGGGGTAGAGAGTTCCAGAGGATGAGAGAGTTTCTGGAAAAACCGAACATGGGAGGAGTAACAAGGGAGCTAGAGAACAAGATGTTCTGGGAGGAGCAGAGAGGACGATTTGGATGATATCTGCAGGTGAGGTTGGTGATGTAGCTGGGGGCAGTGCTGTGGATGGCTTTGTACATTGTGCTTAGTATTTTGAATTTTATACGCTGGGCTAGTGGAAGACAGTGAGGGATTGGCAGAGAGGGGCAGAAGTCACGGATCAGTTAGTAAGGTATATAAGTCTAGCAGTAGCATTCATAATTGACTGGAGGGGGATGGCCAGTGAAGAGGAGTTGCAGTAGTCAAGGCAGGATATAACTAAGGAGTGAATATGTTGTTTTGTGGTGTAGAAGGGGCAAATTCTGGAAATTTTGCAGAGGTTAAGGTGGCAAGATTTAGCCAGTGTTTGAATGTGGGGCCTGAAGGAGAGGTCAGAGTCTAGGATTACAACTAGCACTCTGGCATGCGTGAAGGGACCAGTGGTTGTGTTGTTGATCTCAATGGTAAAGTCATGGGGGGGGGGGGATATTACAAGCTCAGTTTTAGAAAGATTGAGTTTGAGAAAGTGGTGTGACATCCAAAAACTGATGTCACTCAGTAAATTTTTGTTATCAGTGAGGAATCGAGGGGGTGAGCTAGGGAGTAGAGAGATAGATCTGGGTGTCGTAGGCATAGAGGTGATATTGGAAATTGTGGGAGGTTATCAACTGAGCTGAGGTGTAGAAAGAGATTGGCAGGGGCCCAAGGATGGAGACTTGGGGTGCCCCAACAGAAAGAGGAAGAGGAGCAGAGGCAATAGTGTTGTTTTGTGATGCTGAAAGTGTGCTGAGATAGGTAAGAGGAGAACCAGGAAAGAGCAGTCCTGGAGGTCAAGAAAGTAGAGTTTATTTAGGAGGAGCAGGTGGTCAACTGTGTCAAAGGCAGTGGACAGGTCTAAGAGTATGAGTATGGAGTAATGAACATTGGTTTTACCCGTTAGTATGATGTAAGTGAGGTTTAGTAAGGAAGTTTAAGTAGAATGTTGTGGGCAGAAGCCAGACTGTGAGGAATCAAGAAGGTTATTGTCAGTGAAGTAGCAACTCATTTGGTTGTGGCTAATGCATTGAAGAAGTCTAGAGGCAAATGGGAACAAGGAGATAGGGCAGAAGTTATTCAAACAGGTGGGATCTAGTGAGGGTTTTTTAAGTATGGGGTGACTAGTGAATGTTTGAACGAGGAGGGGAAGGTGCTGGTGGAGAGGGAAAGGTTGAAGATGTGGGTTAGAGAGTTTAGGATAGAGCAGGAAGGGGTCAGTAGTAAATGTGAGGGGACAGGGTTCAGGGAACAGGTGGTGAGATGGACCTTGGAAAGGAATTTGGCAACTTTCTCAGTGGTAAGGAAATGTAATTTACCTGCATTTATTTTGTAAGTATAAGTGTTGCTGTTGTAGGTTTATGAATTATACATATGCATTTCACAGACAGGTTTACAGCACCCTAGGTATGTTTTTTAAAGGAATTTTGCATTTTTATTGTTTCACTTTAATCATTACTACAATTGTTGCTACTGGCCAAGCTGTTATCTTTTTTTTTTTTGCATTAATACATGTCTTCCAGGCATATGCCCAGACCCCTATGTCAGCTGTCTGACAATCCCTAGTCTAATAGCTAAGATAATTGCTATTATTGATTTTTCAGATTGGGTTCCCTTTGATTTCAATGGGGATTAGATTTGGCATTTGAACGCACCCAATGTTTGTCAAACACTGTGTCAGGAATGGACTGGCCAGCAATGGTGGGACTCACCTGCCTTTTGATCTGCAGTACCAGGGCTGGCCAGCGGGTGCTCCCAGCAATCAGAGACTCAACCTTTCAGCCAGCTAACACCTGGAACTGATGATACTGGTGTATTTAAGGGATGGCCAGACTTGCAGACTCTGCCTTGGTGTTGTGTTTGCCCTGGGCCCTGTATCTGTCCTGCATCCTGTTTCTGTTCCTTTGCTGACCCTGCCTGATCTGAACCGCTGCTGACTTCTCCTGCTCTGATCCCGGCTCGCTCCTGACCATCCCTCTGCCTGACCCTCTGTACCACGCTGCTTGCTACCTGTTCTGATCCCTGGCTTGTGACCCTGACCATCCCTCTGCCTGACCCTCTGTACTACGCTGCTAGCTACCTGCCGAACCTGGCCTGTGACCCCGACCCATCTCCGCTTGCTCCCCCTGTACCTACCTGCCCTATTGATATTGACCCGGCCTGCCTGACGAGCGCTTGCTTGTATGTACTGTTATCTGTGGGTGGTTGGTTTGGTTTGTTTGCACTGTATTATGTTTTAGTATTACACTGCGTTTTATGTTTGTATTGTTAGTGTTAATAAATTATATTGTTTATCACATATCTGAAGTCTGCGTTTCCCTGCGTCAGTCACACACCTCTGGTCACACCTGGGAGCCCTGACATTACACCAAGGCCAATCCTGACCAGAAGTGGCTGCACAGGGAAGCCATCTTGGCTTGTTGATGGGAAGGATGGATCTGGATGAGGTTGCGTATTTATATCTGCTAGTGTTTGATGACAGGGAGTATGCTTATCAAACTCTGAAGGAGTATCCCCGGGAATAACTGCTAGAATGTATACGGCTCGCTCATGTTCTAGTAGATCAGGGCACAGAGTTCTCTGAGGTGCAGCCTTTGATTGAGGTTTGTGCTGAGTTGGTTTCATCTGGTACCCCCGAATGCAGGGATGAATTTTTGCCACCATTTAGTGCAGACCAGGTAGAGTCCCTGGTATGGTTATTAGAGGATGATGTGGGTTACTTTCTGGAGCGTTATTCCACATGTTCACCACAGACACTAAGAGATTGTATAAACGCAGTGCAGTCTTTGGTCAGACAGGCTTTGTGTAAGCTCAGCTTTGTTCAACCCATACTGCAGACATGGACAGACTTGTTGCACCCAGCCTCAGTCAGCTTACAAAAGTCACCACTGCTTCTAATCTATTTCCTCAAAACTCTATTAAAGTCCTGCTTCTAGCATCTATTTCCTCCTCAAAACTCTATTCCTCACATTCCCAAACAGCTCCTCCTGCCCTGCTATCTACCGCATGTCAGTACCCTGTTCCCACTCGCTGCACCTATCCTGCCTTTTAACCCTGTAAAAAAGCCCCTCTGTAGCAACTGCTCCCTCTCCTGTTCCATCCTCCAGTTTTTCTCTGTCTCCAGCTGCTCCATTCGTTTGCAGACCTGCGTTTACTTGCAGTGCTCCAGTAGTTTAAACCAGAAAAAAGCGAAAATTCTTTCCAACCAATACCATCCTGCCAGTATCCAAACCGGTGAAACCTGCCTTCCGTGGTTCAGCCTGAATCCTCTACTCAGCCTGAATCCTCTACTCAGGCCTGATGCCTTATGAAGCACTCTGAGTTGCTGATGCCTGTACTCAGCCTGATGCCTGTAACTACGCAGCCTGATGCCTCTACTCGGCCTGAAGCCCTCTACTCGCCTGAAGCCTCTACCTGATGATCCTGATGCCTCTACTCGGCCTGAAGCGTCTACTCGGCCTGAAGCCTCTACTCGTCCTGAAGCCCTCTACTCGGCCTGAAGCCTCTACTCGGCCTGAAGCCTCTACTCAGCCGGACGCCGGCATTCAGCCTGATGCCTCTACCCCAGCATGATGAACTGATCCAGCCTGACGATCCTATGTAGGCCAGTTGACTCGATGCCCGCTGTTGATCCCCAGATGATCCGGTACCTGATCCGGTGCCCGCTATCGTGCCAATTGACTCAGAGCTGATGCTGTCATACCTGTTGACTCGGAGCCCTCACTGCCTTGCCAGATGACGTGGTTGCCCGCTGTCGAGCCAAATGACCTGATGTCTGGTGAGCCCCTGCCGCTTCCAGCCACCTGAGCATGGTGAGCCCACTATTAGTCATTTATTTTTATTGCCTTGCCAGATGCCCGCTGTCGAGCCAAATGACCTGATGTCTGGTGACCCGATGCCCGCTGTCCGGCCAGACGATTCAATGTTGATCCCAGTGCCCGCGGTCATGCCAGTTGACTCGGAGCCCACTGCCTTGCCAGATGACGCAGTGCTCGCTGTCGAGCCAAATGACTTGATGCCTGGTGACCCGATGCCCGCTGTTCAGTCAGACGATCCAATGTCTGACCCAGTGCCCGCGTCATACCAGTTGACTCGGAGCCCACTGCCTTGCCAGATGACGCGGTGCCCGCTGTCGAGCCAAATGACCTGATGCCTGGTGACCCGATGCCCGCTGTCCAGCCAGACGATCCAATGTCCTGACCCAGTGCCAGCGGTCATGCCAGTTGACTCGGAGCCCACTGTCGTGCCTGGTGACTCGGTGCCCGCCGCTTCGCCTGGGGGCCCGAGACCTGTCTGGCGCTCCGCCCCGGTCATACCCTTGCTCCATGTGGGGACTCGGCTCCCCCGCTGTCGCCTGGGGGCCCGAACCTGGTCGCTCCGATCCTGGGGGGCGGGCGCCCGCCGCTCCGCCTGGGGGTCCGGCGCCCGCCGCCCCCCGCCTGGGGGCCTGAGACCTGTCGCTCCGTATCCGCCTGAGGGCCCGAGAACCTGTCGCTCCGCCTGTGGGTCCGGCGCCCGCCGCTCCGCCTGAGGGCCCGAGACCTGTCGCTCCACCTGGGGGTCCGGCGCCCGCCGCTCCGCCTGAGGGCCCGAGACCGGTCGCTCCACCTGGGGGGTCCGGCGCCCGCCGCTCCGCCTGGGGGCCCGATGCCTGTTGCTCCCCGCCTGGGGGTCTGGCGCCCGCCGCCATGCCTGGGGGCCCGATGCCTGTCGCCCCCTGGGGGGCCCCTGTCGCCCCGCCTGGGGGCCCGATGCCTGTGCCCCGCCGGGGGCCCCGCCCCGCCCGGGGGGGGGCCTGAGTATGTGCCTGCTGCCGCCCGCCCGGGAGCCCGTGCCTGTTGCCCCCCGCCCGTGGGCCCTGCCTGTTGCCTGCCGCCCGGAGGCGGGTGCCTGCTGCTCCGCCCGGGGGCCGGTGCCTGCTGCTCCGCCCGGGGGCCCGGTGCCTGCTGCTCCGCCTGGTGGCCCGCTGCCTGCTGCTTCGCCTGGTAATCCGATGTGCCTCTGGCCCGGAGTCCTGCCCGATGTGCCTCTGCCCGGAGTCCTGCCCGATGTGCCTCTGCCCCGGAGTGCCCTGCCCGATGTGCCTCTGCCCGGAGTCCAGCCCGATGTGCCTCTGCCCGGAGTCCAGCCCGATGTGCCTCTGCCCGGAGTCCAGCCCGACGTGCCTCTGCCCGTGTGCCTCTGCCCGGTGTGCCTCTGCCCGGAGTCCAGCCCGATGTGCCTCTGCCCGGAGTCCAGCCCGGTGTGCCAGTCTTTGATATCCCGCCAGTTACCAGACCCCGGGCGGTGGACACATTTTGATTCCCCCAGCTAGGGGACATTTTGCCCAGCTAGGACTGTTTGGAGCGTCCTGAGGCCGCTCCTTGAGGGGGGGGGGGTACTGTCAGGAATGGACTGGCCAGCAATGGTGGGACTCACCTGCCTTTTGATCTGCAGTACCAGGGCTGGCCAGCGGGTGCTCCCAGCAATCAGAGACTCAACCTTTCAGCCAGCTAACACCTGGAACTGATGATACTGGTGTATTTAAGGGATGGCCAGACTTGCAGACTCTGCCTTGGTGTTGTGTTTGTCCTGGGCCCTGTATCTGTCCTGCATCCTGTTTCTGTTCCTTTGCTGACCCTGCCTGATCTGAACCGCTGCTGACTTCTCCTGCTCTGATCCCGGCTCTCGCTCCTGACCATCCCTCTGCCTGACCCTCTGTACCACGCTGCTTGCTACCTGTTCTGATCCGCTTGTGACCCTGACCATCCCTCTGCCTGACCCTCTGTACTACGCTGCTAGCTACCTGCTGAACCTGGCCTGTGACCCCGACCCATCTCCGCTTGCTCCCCCTGTACCTACCTGCCCTATTGATATTGACCCGGCCTGACTGACGACGCTTGCTTGTATGTACTGTTATCTGTGGGTGGTTGGTTTGGTTTGTTTGCACTGTATTATCTTTTAGTATTGCACTACGTTTATGTTTGTATGGTTAGTGTTAATAAATTATATTGTTTATCACATATCTGAAGTCTGCGTTTCCCACCTCTGGTCACACCTGGGAGCCCTGACACACTGCTCGAACAACACGTGCTGATATAAGAATATCAGTGATAGCATGGTGCTTTACTGATGAGGGCAAAGCACAGGATGTAAGGTCCTAGCAGTATTAGCAAGTAAGCGGTAAGTAGTAACATAATTATTCACTGTAAAGATTTACTGCCAGTTGAGGTGATAGAGAAAAACTTATGCACAGTGCCAGTACTTGTTGCATGTCCATGCTGCCATCTGTTGAGATATGCAAGTGGAGGCATTACTTTTCATTCAACACTTGAATTTTTTTTGAGAGCTTGTATTAGAGAATAAGCGTTCAATACATATATGGAATGAAACACTTTAGTTTTTTGTTAGGAAAACTTTTTTCAACCAGAGTGCCCAGACACCCTGGGCTGCCTTCAGGTTTCTTCAAGGGGGCCTTAGCAAAATGCCTATACATTTCCCCAAAAACTGTATACAACCCAGAAAATGGATGAAGCCTGTCTTTTAGTTAAATGTTTTTACTGTGCACCGTTACAACCTTCCAGCCACCGGTGTCCTAACATCCTATAATATAATTGGTTAATAAGGAGGACTTTGGGCGCTTGCAAAACATCCTTGTTTGCCCTCCCTTGCCCCTGTCCTTCAGCACTGGGGTCACATTAGCTGAGTAAGAGAGACAAACTGAGGGAAAGAGAAATGCTGGAATATTTGTCAGTACCAGTGTGCAAAGATGTATTTGCTTTGGAAAAATAAATCACCTCTAACATTTGATGTCCTACCTACGTGGTTGCTGTTGCGTTGTCAGCGCCATGGCCATCTTTAATACTGATTGGGCCCCGGGCAAACATTTTCTTGGACCCTCATTTCACTTTGCTCTGCACCCCAACATCCAAAAAAACAAACAAACATAGATGTCCCCCATACTACCCCCATCATTACACAAGGACCCCCCTCCCCTATACTACTCCCATTATTACACAGGAACCTCTCCTCCATACTACCCTCATCAATACACAGGTACACCCTCCCCCAGACTACCTTCATCATTACACAGCACCCCCTCCCCTATTCTACCCCCATAATTACACAGGACCCCCTCCTCCATACTACCCTCATCATTACACAGGACCCTCTCCCCCATACTACCCTCATCATTATACAGCACCCCCTCCCCTGTACTGCCCTCATCATTGCACAGGACCCCCCCTCCCCCATACTACCCTCATCATTACACATGACCCCCTCCCACATATTACCCCCATCGTTACACAGGACCCCCCTCCCCCATACTACCCCCATCGTTACACAGGACCCCCTCCCTCATACTACCCCCTCCCTATACTACCCCCTGGAACCCCCTGTGAATGGATGAACTACAAATCCTGTCTGCCACTGCAGTAGATGTCTTGAAGCTCTCAATTAACTGTGGGGGTGCTGTTGAGCTAGTTCATTGACACTTCCTACAGCTTTCAAATATAAAGTCTGTACAGAGGTATGGGTAGAAAGCTGTGGGCAGTGTCTGCAGGAGCCTACTGAATGGTGACATTAGAATTAAGGGGAAGTAGGTATTCCTGCCCTGTAAGGAAGGTCTGGGCATTGTAGCAGAGTTGTGTAAATCCCAGAACAGGATAGAAAGACAAATCCTTTGGCAGGTAAAACAACTACCTCATCTGAATTTCATCTCTGTATCTAGAATTTAGGCTTGAGTTCATATTTATTGTTCTAATGCAGACCCAAAAACATTGTGCACAGCATCATATAACCCACATTTAGTGAAACCAGTGTACCCCCGGGGGGGGTCATCGCCCTGTCCAGAGTTTGCAGTACTGCTGCACAGAATGCCTGTCATATGTCACTACCTCAACCCAGAATATAGGACCACCCAATAGGAGGACAGAAGAGGAAGATACTGCTCATCACATAACCAGGTACAAGGCAGATGGGAAAAAAAAGTATGTCTATAACAAATGTGCTGCTGATGAGACTTAGGTGAGGGAGAAATTGAGTTTAAATTTAAACAAATATAATCAAGAAAATGGGGAGGAGAAAATCTATAATGGGAACCATGTTCCTCAGGGCAGGTTCTCTTGTTATGCTCACAGGCCACCCACCTCCTATTCCAGTCTCTAAAAGACATGGAGGAATGGGAGCAAATGTCTACTACGCTTGTACCCAGCTAGAATGCACTACAAGTCCCATAATTCCACAAAAAAAAACTGCACAAAGTAATGCTAGTGTTTACAGTTGGTAACTAAATTACTTGTGATCAGTCCCACACTGACCATCAGACGAAATCTGTCAGGCATGATCTGCAGCCAATCCATCCATGGGATGGATAATCTGTGTAATGGCTCTACCCTAGCTTGCAGGATGTCGATGGTTGGAGTAGATTGGTTAAAAGTATCTTTTATTGTAGAACACTGTATCCTTCGAAAAGCAAACTACTGCAATGTATCCTTCCAGAGAACAAACAGCCAGCCATCTGAAACTGAGTGAGAAAGTCCTGGATGGTTAAAAGTCACACAGCTGCCTCTTGGCCGGAGAGGTGGAGGGGAACTAGGGCTGACAGACAGATGAAGGTTCTCATGTAGTGATTAAGCCACATGTACCATCGAGGGAACCACTGGGAATACCTGCTTACCCACTACTGGAACCAAGGGAAAGCCCAGGTGACAGATAAATTAGACACATTGAGGGATGCTGAAAAAAACCCACTCCACTCCTCCTGTCTGGAATCAACCACTTGGGCAGAGGCATAAACTGTTGCTGGAGCCTGATGAAGTCCTAGAATTTCCTGCATCCATGTGTGTTTCCTATACCCTGCATGTCTGGAGCCTCACCGCTCCCACCAGTACTGAGCACCAGAAAATGTGTTTTTCTTCCACAATGCTCTGCTCTGCTCTGACAGCTCACCCATGCTACAGCAGCAGCCTGTGACCACACCTCTCCACTGTGCCTGTCTGTGCCCTTGTCTGCTGGCAGCGTGGGCTAAAGGGGCAGCTGCCCCACAACAATGATTGGGTCTGGGGCAGATGCCCCTTTTGCCCTGCATTAAAGATGGCCCTGGTCAGCATATAGAAACCCAACAACGTTTCTGCAGAAGCAGAAGTTAACAAAAGTCTAGTAATTCTACTTTCAACATCCAATAATAGTGGTAAAAGTTACCCTTTTAAATGGTCACTAAAAATATGCTACAAAGGTCTCTGAAAAAATATCCCAAATAACTAAATCTGTAGGTTTAGCACACTACCCTATATTTGCCCATATAACATAAATAACCCCATATCACTTTATTGAACTAACTGATGTAACGCCAGAGCACTTAAACATATTAAGTACAGTACAACTATAATAAAGTCACAGCATGAGTCATTTACCTTATTTGCTTTTTATTGTTTTTTTAGATTACAGTCATTTATTATGTATTTGAAAGATTTTTAAGTAAATGTGTTATAGTGCCAGTGTTGACAAAATCACACCTTAATTATAATATTTATTTCATACTCATATTTTAGATGGCTTCAATTATTAGTGTTGAAAATACATGTAAAACCAAATAATTATTGCCCAAGTGAGTTAGCTGAAATAATGATTTTTTCAATTAAAATAAGTGTTAAAAATGAATAACAAAATGCTGTTAGGCAATTAACATATGTTTTGGGCTATTCTGAAACTGATACAAAAGTCTCATAGAACAATGTGCACTAATACCAGTTTGTCAATGAGCTTTCAATCAATGTCCATTCTTAGGGAATAAAA